AATAACTGGAACAAAACTCTCTCTCTCTCTCTCTCTCTCTCCTCTCTCTCTCTCTCTCTCTCTCTCTCTCTCTCTCTCTCTCTCTTGCTTGTACGAGCTCTTAGTCTCATTGATTTGGCTACCTTAGGGTTGCGTTCCCCGCGCCCACGCGGTAGACAATGCTTGCAGGGGTCCCCTGTATAGGCTTAGGAGTAGTGGTAGGTAGATAGTGAGAGGTGAAATTGAGAGAAGAATATAGCTTAGCTTTATAAAAATTAAAAAACAAACAAACATAATACTAAACTGAACAGTTGAGGAGAGGAAGGGGTGGGGGGACCTCCCCTCCCACCACAACAAAATCTTCTTGTGCCATCCACCCTGGTGACGTACCGTACCCTCTCCCAACCACATAAACGTACGAACTACGGGCAGCGCATCCGTGCCCTGTGGTAGTTCAACATGTGTTGTCATTTGCAGCCCTAAGGCTGCGGTCTACTGCAGTTCGGCGTCTGTGTCAAGGTGTCCCGTTTTTGGCGACGGGCGACCACGACCCAAAGTGGGTTCTTAGGGGGCAAAAAAATTTGGGGAATCGGTCCTTGCCAAAATTGCGGACTACCTACTCTGGGAGAACCGAGACTTTTGGAAAACGGAAGGACCGGTCCTCAGGTGGAAGTGGACCCCAAAAAGAAGTGGGGGTGGGGTAAGGGCCCTCAGGCCCAGGCATTGAGGCCCGTCTTCTCAAAACAGGGACGTCAGGCGCAACGAACCAGGCGTTTTGCAAGAGGCACCTTTGGCGATTTTCTGTGTTCGGAGGACCCCGCAGAAAAATCTGAAATTTTGAGAATCCATACATGAGGTAGTGTTCTTTCTAGGAAAAATATTAGAACATTTAAAAAAGATAATTTAGACCGAGAAATAATTGTCGCGCGGATTCGGCACATTTTCCATTTTTGCCACTCAGCCATGCGTGGGCCAACTTAAAAAGTACTCCAAATTCAGTGGGTTTTCACTCTCAGAAGAATGCGTGAAAAAACCTGAAAATTGGAGTACTCGTAGATTTTGTTGTGATCTTTCCAGGAAAAATGTTAAATACATAAAAAAAAATAATTCCAACTGCGAAATAGATCGCGGCCGCAATTTGACCTATATTTCAATTTTGCCATTCAGCCTCTCTCTCTCTCTCTCTCTCTCTCTCTCTCTCTCTCTCTCTCTGTGGTAGCCCCCCCCCTCCCACTCTCTCTGTTTCTCTTCTTTCTCTCTCTCACTCTCTGTCTCTCTCTCCCACTCATAAAAATAAATGGAACAAAACTCTCTCTCTCTCTCTCTCTCTCTCTCTCTCTCTCTCTCTCTCTCTTGTGCAAGCTCTTCGTCTCATTGATTTGCCTACCTTGGTTGCGTTCCCCCCGGTAGACAACGATCTCTATACACAACTCCACATGCCTCACGGCATAATCACTATCTTACGCCCCCCCCCACACCACATGAAAGAAACAAAAAACTACGGCCTGCTCACCCGCTCCCTCAGCGCAAGTCGATCAATAGCTGGTTGCTATGGCCTTTCGAAGCGTTTTGCTCACGTTCGTACGGCTCAAGCCCTCCACCCCCTCCATTCCACATCTGGCGCCAACGCGGCCGCCAACTGGGGCTTCGTTTGCTGCTGCGCGGCCGCCAACTGGGGCTTCCTTTGCTGCTGCGCGGCCGTTGGGGCTTCCTTTGCTGCTGCGCGGCCGCCAACTGGGGCTTCCTTCGCTGCTGCGCGGGATAACGTTGAGCCGTCTGGCGATCTCTCCGAAAGCTATCGGCAATACCCAGGCTAGGCTGCGAGAAGGTGGAGGCGCGGATCTGGTCTGGTTTCTTTTTTCCCTACTGGTGAACCTCCACTCCATTTCCTTTCCGCATCTCTCCTTGTCCCTTCAAACAAGGGAAAATCCAGACGTGTTAATTCTTCTGCCAACGCGAATCCTATTAAGCCTATCGTGCTGGTAGGGTCACCTTTTGTACGTGTTAATTCTTTTGCCAACGCGAATCCTATTAGGCCTATCGTGCTGGTAGGGTCACCTTTTGTGCGGTCCGAGTTGTATGGCCTTTTTTTTTTGTGTTTGCGGCGTGGCGCCGATGTGTCAATGTAAGATCGCCAATTATAGCGCGCGACATTTTTCATTTTCCGATATTTTCTTTGGCGTTTCTCGATTTGTGGGTTTCTTCTTTGCAGCACGCGCGCTTTTTTTTGCCAACTTGCTCAAGGCCGTCCAGCTGTTCGGGTGACTCATCACTCTGCGGCACCAAACGTGTCCATGAGGGCATCCGACGCACTGTCCACATACGCGCGCAGAACTGGTCAGCGCGCCGCCTCGGCGTTGCCGAACTTTCGCCAAATTCGTCAAACGAAGCCAAGCATGGCTAGAGGCGGGACGGAGTGGACGCTGTTCCCACTTGGACGATTCTCCGCGTTTTCTCTTTTTTCTCGCGCGTTTTCTTTTTTTTCTCGCGCTTTTTACCCTTCCGAGTGTCCCCCGCGTGTAAAATTGGGACGTCCAATAGTGTTGTTATCCCGCCACAAGGCGGAAGTGTTCTTTTCCCGCTCACGCTTGCTAAGTCACCGTGAATGTGGCTAGCCAGCCAGCCAGCTGGCCGGCTGAGTGGGGGACCACTGGCTGGCTGGCTGGCTGGCTGGCTGGGCCGGGCTGGGCTGGGCTGGGCTGGGCTGGGCTGGGCTTTCTGGCCTTGGTTTTGCCCGCGGGCAAATGCCCGCCAGTGATGTAACGGGAAGAAGGAAGACGAAGAGGAAGAAGACGAGGAAGAAGGAGAGGAGGAGGAGGAGCAGGAGGATGATGACGAGAGAGGGGTAAGCGATGGCGGTTTGAGAAAGTTGAGGTAGTGTTTTGCTTGGGTTTGGCGGGGAGAAAAAAGAAGAGGAGAAGGAGAGGTAAAGAAGTAGAAAAACACCAAGGTGAGGCCATGGCTATGGCGGTTGTCGATTAGTCGGATGCATTTTTTTAAAAAACATTTTTTCCTGGTGTGCAAACCAGCTTGTAGGGGACGACGCACGAAGACGAAAACCATGAGATGTCTTCGTTCCTTGCCTCTGCGCTTGCCATCTTCTTCCCACTGCAGCGAGAAAGACGGATTGGTAGTAGCCATAGCTGGGCAGCGTTACGTAACTGCAGGTGCACCGCCGTGCGCCGCTGCTCACCTGCGCCCGACTTGCAAGTTGCGCTTGCGCTTTTCGCGCGGCTTTTGCAAAATAAACATTGCTTCTCCCTTTTCCCACCAAGCGGCTTCATCGCCTTGCTGTCATTAGCGCTTACGTCCATGGAATTGCCGCGCACTGTACATATAACCATAACCAAGCTTTAGCAATTGCGAAACGGCGACGAAACTGTTCACTGCCGTGCGATCATCTCCTGTTTAGATTCCTTTTTTTTTCCTTTCAATCTTACAAGCGTTTACTCATCATCGATCAGTTTTTTTTTTTTTTCTTTCAATCTTACAAGCGTTTAGTCATCATCGATCAGTCCTCGCTCGAAGGTTCATCAAACCTTGTTCGCAGTTGATTTTAAGCAGTTGTATAAAACCTTGTTCGCGGCCCTTTTGAGCAGCAATTATCAATCAATCAACCCTTGCTTTGGCTGCAGTCGATTGAGCACCTACCAGACACAATTCCCTGTCAGGCACTGGATGGCCTCCGTGAGGTGACTTCCTCAGATTCTACTCGTGTATCTATTTTTTTTTTTTTTTTTTTTTTGGTTTGTGTGTGTGTGTGTGTGTGTGTGTGTGTCCCGCTTCTCTCTCGAGCAGCGCTGGCGGGTAGAAAGCAAGGATTATGCCGTGTTTCACTCCTTCCCCCCCTTTTATCATCCTCTCTTTTCCCCCTTCTCGCGAATTTTGTCGGTGGTGTGTTCTTTCATCCAGGGAGAGGTGCGCTAGTAACTATGGGTGACGATGTGTGACCATGCATGATGTGATGTAGTGAGATGATTGTGGAAAGAGACGGGTTGGGAGTTAAGAGAAGGCGGAGGAAGAGGTAAGAGGAGGTAGGAAAGAGGCGCGCGGAAGGAGCGAGGGAGGTGGATTTGCGTTTTGAGCGCGCGTTGGCTGAGAAACCGCTTGATCGAGGAAGTAGAGGGCTGGGGGGGGGGGGAGAGGGAAGGGCGGCAGGTAGTAGAGCGATGGAGACGACCGAGCAGACGAGCGTTGACCTGTTCAAGATCGAACCGAGTGGGGCTCCTGGCCGTTCGCTTGCGGTGCAGATCTTGGCCTGCACCTTCTTCCGGAGATTGATACGGGCTTTTAGACAGAGAATTTGGAGGCGGGTGAAGAGGTACGCGAGGTGTGTGCGCTATCTCGCTAGCGGAGTGCTGGGAGGGGTGGCTGTAAATAATTCCGGTTTGCTGCTAGGATGTGTCGTAGTCGGCGCGGTAATTATGCGCCGAGCGCGTGCGCGCTCCGAGATTGCCTTCAGCCGCGCTTATTGCCAAGACCAGATGAGACGCGCGGTGACTTACGCGGACTTCGCAATGTGGGCGTCGTTGCTCGAAAGGTGGACCAGCCGCAAGCGAGACGCTGACCTGTACGATGAGGAATTGGTGAAATCAAGGCTAGAGGGACTGCGGCGGCGCCGGGAGGAAGGATCCGTTGAGGACATAACGTTCTACCTGCGAGCGGATCTGGTAAGGAATCTTGGGGGTATGTGTAATCCTGAGCTGCACAAGTATCGTCTGCAAACGCCCCGTGTCATCCAAGACTACATCAACGAGGTGAAGTACCACCTAAAGGCAGTGTGCGATCTGCCAGAGACAGAGGCATTTCCACTGGGAGAGAAGTTAGCATTCATTCACGAGACTCGACATGCGTTCGGTCGAACGGCTCTGCTGCTGAGCGGCGGCGCCGCTCTGGGCGTCTTTCACCTTGGAGTTGTGCGGACGTTGATTGAAAACCGGCTGCTGCCACGTGTCGTTGCGGGAGCCAGCGTGGGGTCTATCATCGCCTCCTTCTGTGGGTCCCGCACCTGGCCTGACCTCCAGCGCTTCTTCGATGACCCTCTCCCCCCCCTTCACTTCTTCCAGTCCATGGGATCCGTCTTTCAAACCGCTCATCGCTTGCTGACACGTGGCGCTGTGCACGAGATTGGTCAGCTGCAGAGGAAGATGCGCCAGATTGTCGGTGACCTCACATTCCAAGAGGCGTACGACTTGTCGGGACGTGTGCTGGGCATATCCGTCTCTTCTCCTCGGAAGCATGAGCCTCCCAGGCTGCTTAATTACTTAACCTCCCCCAACGTCGTGATCTGGAGTGCTGTTGCGTGCTCCTGCGCTTTTCCAGGACTGTTCGAAGCTCAAGAGTTGATGGCAAAGGACCGATACGGGCGGCTCGTGCCTTATCACGCTCCCGCGAAGGTAGGTAAGCGGCCAACCCACACCGAGGGGGGGGGGAGGGAAAAGGAAGAGATAAAAAGAAAAGGGGAGAAACTTCAAAAAAGTCGCCAATCAACAGCGAGCGAGTCCTGTAGAGAGAGCGAGCCACCTCTCCGGAGATCAAAGCAAGGGGCAGAAAGCGAGTCGCGTCAGCGTTTTTTTTTTTTTTTTTCTATAAATACAACAATCACTAATACGAACCTTTTTTTTTTTTTTTTTTTTTTTTTTTTGGCACAGCTATGAAAGTTTATACTTACACATTAGGGCTTTCCTTTTTCAAAAAAAACAAAACAAAAAAAAACAGACCCCTCGAGTTCCCTTCACTATACGAATCGTATACCGTAATGCAAGGAACCAATTATAATTTTGCATGCACCATTCATCGAGGTATGCCTTGTTTGCTGTTTATCAAATGGCTGATAATTACTTACAATAATACTTAGGGGATGCATACGTTCACACACTGGGAATTTCTGGGACTAACTGTACCGTAATTGCTGTTGGATACAAGTTCATGACAATTAAAATCGTGTGTGTGTGTGTGTGTGTGTGTGTGTGTGTGTGTGTGTGTGTGTGTGTGTGTGTGTCATTAATTCTTTCAGCCAACGCACGGAAGTGTTATGTACCTAGTACACGTGATTGTCTCTCATCGGTAATTTCGAGGCGAGTTCCTTTTGTCGTAGGCAGCGGAATCAGATTTTTTTTTTTTTTTTTTGATTATTTGATCAGAAGACATATTACGCTTACGGGATTAGCGTTATGACAAACCAAAAAGGCTAATTGCTTACGAAGACGACTTGTCAATTTCAAAATTCAACATAGTAGAAAATAAAAATAAAAATGGGAGAATGTTGGGTTGGATCCACTCGCAGGTGGGTACAGCCTTAACCGTATGTGTTCATATATATATAGCCTCCTGATGAGTCGGTGAAACTCCGACGAAACAGTTTGTCACAGCCCCTCGTTTGTTGTCCTCTTCTCTCTCTCTGCCTACGGTTTACCGGGCAGTTCTGTTTGTGACGATATATATGTATACATATTTTACAATATATAGCCCCTCGGTTGTTGTGCTCTTCTCCCTCTCTGCCTACGGTTTACCGGGCAGCTCTGTTTGACGATATGTATATGACCTCCCATCCACGTGGCCGGCCTTGTACGAAAGAGGTGATGACCAGGCGGAGCTTTCCTTCCTTTCTTCTTTCCTTTTTTCTGTTTTGTTTTTTTCGCCTTTGCGCTCCGATACACGGTGTGACGACACACAGAGAGAGAGACTCCGTCTATTATTCCCGTCCTTATTGTAAAGGGCGACGGCCTTGAGGTATAATCATCCAACTGGCCGGCAGCAACAAAGTCAGAGTTATAATTCTACTGATCTGATGATTCTGATTCCATTCCAAAAAAAAAAAAAAGGGGATTTGAACTTACGTCTGTTGATGAGCAGTTAACATGGATGGGTGCACCGTTCAGCGACATGGGCTGCGATTCCCGTCCTTATCGAGCCGTATGCATTCATGTAGTCCGTAGTAGTACTGCATACGTTATGGGCCTCGCTCCGCTATTCACCACATGCACAAAAGACAAAAACTATGGCGGTGTATCTACCCATTTCTAGCGGAAGATGCATTCTTAGTTTGCACATTTGGTGAGTAGTCGAGCGAGGCCCTATTCCTGTCCTTACGAAGGGAGATACTAACCTTCTGTCGGCTGAAAACCACAAAACGAAAGAGACGCTACTCTCGGCCATCTTGTCGGTCGCCGAAATTTCTGATCACCCCAAAAAAAAAATCAAGAACGCTCCTTTTTGCATTATGCACCTGGATGTTTGCAGGACCTGGCACAGAGATCGCGCATGCAATTGCGCGTCCTCGTACCGGTCGTGCACCTGGACGTGCTGGTGCACCTATCTGCACGTACTGGTGGTACAAATCATGCAGCTACCTGCCCTGCATGTCCTTGTGCAGATCATGCACCTGACCATCAAGGTACGCGCAATTTGATATGGGGATGAGCTTTAGTCATAAATAAACGTCAGGGATAAAAAAAAAACAACGTCAGGGCGATACAGCTACTCTCCAATAAAACGGGGACGATTGTCTCATTTGGCTTCGAAAAGTTTGTGCTGACCTCATTGGGCCTGTCTGAACGTACCTAGACGCCACGAACGTTCGGGGACGTGGGAATGTACGTGGGGCATCTCTGCTGCCGACCAGGTACATCTTCACAGGGCCACTGAGGTCGTTCTTTCGCTTCCCGCCTTTTTTTTTTTTTTTTTTTGGACCATTCCTCGATGTATGCGTGTCATCCTTGCGCAGGGGCCATGCTAATCTTCTCTGTATCGTTCCAATTTTAACGGATGTCCCGAAGGACAACGCATCTCGCCTTTCTTTTGTTACAAAGGGAGGAAAAATCATTGATGATGCCATTGATCATGTCAAGCAATTACGTAGGCTCGTAACGCAGTGAAAATCAGTCGTTAAGCGAATAGAAACTGATGCCTTGATCGGTCCCGAACACTTGGCATGATGGTTTGTTGATTCGCTACTCAAGGTTCTTTCCGGAAAGATGCGTAATTTGTTTTATGGAAGCATGTGTGACAGCGGCTTGACACAGCATGATCCAGTGTCGGGTTCTCATCTTCGGGATGGATTAAGAGACAGAGGGGGCGTCGATCTATGACAAAATCTCTTATCCTGTGCAAATAGGACCTTGTCCCAGATGAAAGCAGGCACGCATGCATGCAAGCACGTACGTAGGAAGGCACGCAGGCACGGCCGCACGTAGGCATATATGCATGCATGCATGCACGCACGCACGCACGCATGCAGACGGCCACACATGCAGGCATGCATGCATGCATACAGGAAGGCAGGCATGCATGCATACAGGAAGGCACGCACGCAGGCATGCATGCTGGCACGCACGCACGCACGCACGCACGCACGCTCGCACGCTCGCATGCATGCAGACGGTCACACATGCAGGCAGGCATGCATACAGGCACCCACGCATGCATGTATGCATAAAAGCAGGCAAGAACGCAGGCATGCATGTACGCATAAACGTAGGCAAGCACGCAGGCATGCATGTACGCACAAAAGCAAGCGAGTACGCAGGCATGCTTCCATAAAAGCAGGCCCTTGCAGCCACGCAGGCAAGCAGGCATGCTGGCATGCATGTATGTATGCGTGCGTGGAGAGGAATATGTACTTTTTTGGGAACAAATGAAAATGGAAGACAGCAAAGCTGCTTCATTGGTGGAGATGGTACATGGGAACATACACGTGTCAGGTCTCTTATTGGCACAGTGATACCGCGGGCGAGGTCCCGCTTGATGTCCCACTCACATGGATTCTTCATTGTGGACTGTAGATTACAAGGATCGCCGGCCAGAAACACAGACTTGGCGTAAGTGGGACCTTGGCCCGGTAAGGGAAATCTGTTCCGAGGAATGGAAAGGAACTAAGCCGGAGCTATTCTACGAGTGCAAAAGGAAGGGGAAATTTGCAGGATGCCCTTAAAGGATGCGGCATTTCCTTAAATACCCCTCAACTGAGGGGCATGGCATAATTAACCCTTCTGATAGCCGTCAAAATTTGTCGAACTCGTGGATTGGACCCCACATCTTTTCCATATGCCCCTGCCAGTCACCTGTTCAACAACTTCTCCAGATGTCTCGGTACCTTTGGCCGTTGGACCCGTGGTGGCAAATCTTGCATAGCCCATACTGCTACCGGGCATGTTTTCAGGTTGCCCTTCCCTCGACTGAGGAGGCCCCTACTCCCAAAAAAACGGAAATGGTAATCTCTCTCTCTCTCTCTCTCTCTCTCTCTCTCTCTCGCTCTCTCCCGCCCGTCACCCGTTTGCTTATTCTGTGCGATCGCTGCAATCTCGTTCCTCCTCCACCTTCCTCTCCCCTTGCTCCCAACCTCCTCTTCCATGTGTTTCTCTCTCTTGCAAATAGGATCGAAATGCTCGCTCCTCGTCCCCCGTCCACATCCCCCTGTGTATGTTGATCTGGCGAGTGGCCTGAGGAGAAGGGGTGGGGAGGAGGAGGAAATGGAGGAGATAATTCACAATGAGGACGCCAACAGCGGCCGGTTGAGGGTGATGTTATCATTTTGCCACGCGTCTATGGTCATAAAGGAGGGAGAGGTAGAGGAGTAATAGTAGGATGACGAAGAGGGCAAAGTGAGTAGGATGCGCGGGAGGCCAGAGTGAGCGGGTCCCAATGAGGACGAGGGACAATGTAATGGAGTCGTCGAGGAGGAGGAGGGTAGAGAGGAGGGAGAGGTGGAGGAGTCCAGAGTGAGCGGGTCCCAACGAGAGAAATAAAGGAGTCG